CTTCTGAGGAGCTTAGTGCTTTGCTATTACTCTTGGTTTGCACTTATTATAAAATACTCTCTCATATGTTTTTGTTGTTGTTCATTTTCCAGCGGTTATTAAAAATATGCGCAACTCTTTTGTTGCATTATTTAAAACTCATGTTGCATGCAATAGCTTGGCACACATACACTCGCTCTCACATATATACGATACTTTTATGCTGCCACAGGATGTTTTGTCCCAGAGCTTCAGCTGCTTGTCGCATTTTAAATGCATTTCTGTGATGAGTAAAAAGTGGGAGTAGATGACTTGCAATGGGAGAGTGCTCAGTCCGATTCACCGTGGTTCAACCCACATGCAATGCGTGTTGAAACGGACAGAGGGCGGATGGTTGGCGTTTATTTATTACCGCTTGCATATCAGTCGCTTGTTCGTCAAGACCGAGTTGAAAGCGTTCAACATGCATGCATTTAATGTAATCACACATTGCAACAAATACACACAAATACATGTTTATGTGTAAAATAGAAGAATTTCTCTCGCACATTCATTGCAGTCATAGAAGGTTGGCTCCGTCGCTGTCACTATTCACTTACAATTCATCCGCGCTGACCATCATCAATCATTCGGTGGTGCCACATAAGAGCGTTTTAAATATATTATGGAAATGCATTTGTAGATGTCTACTTGTATGTGAAAATGTATTCCATTCTCGGAAATTCTTTCAGTTGTTGTTATTAGATTTTCAATTTATTGTTTTTAATACATTTAAAGTTTTTAAAATATATTAAAAGGGGCAGCTTAGAAGTTAAGGTATTACAACTCCAATGCTAAGGATAGTTTTGAGTGTTAGTTTTAATTCTGAGAAGTCTTCAAGACCTAAAAAACTAAAAAAGCGTAGTCGCTTAAGCTTGCTTCATTGGGTGAGCCCTCAGTTATTGTCAGACTTTGATTTTCGATCGCTCCAGAGTTTAGAGCTTTCCGTACTCGATAATGATTACTCGATAATGTCAACTTGACTTACTCAGTAATGATTACTCAATAATTTCAATTCTAACTACTCAGTAACTTATAAATTGGTATTTAAGTAATCCAGGTGCAGTAATCGTTTTTCGATAATCATATGAAGTACAGTAATAATTAATATTTATAATCATGAAGAAGTCATCAATGATGAAAGCATACTCAGTAACTACGAGTCAGTAATCATATGTCATTATATTTAATTAAAATGTAATCCTAACTATTCAAACTAGTCAATATATAGTTTACAATATTCGGAATATTTGTATGTAATCATTACCTTATAATTGCGTCTAATCGGTGTTGTTTACTTTATTATATATTACATGCTGTCTCCTTTAATCAGTCTCCAATAATGAATAGTTGTTGTAGTTAATGGCAGTCAGCAGTAGTGACCTTAAATTACCTCTTAAGCAATATACTAGCAAAGCTGGAATTCATTACGCATCACCGGATTAGGTCTGAGTACAATAATTAGACATCAAAATAATTAATTTAATTTTACAGTCTTGAAACGTTAAACGCTTGTTACCAGTCACTATATTATAATAAACTAGCAGCACATCAGCACACAGCTTCATAAGTTATGTATTGCAATTTGCACTTAATAATTGTTGTCATAAAATCAATACTGATTAGATAGTAATTATGAATAATTAATTTATAACAAGTACAAAACAACAAAAAGTAGTAATTGCCGAATAGTAAATAATAATAATTGATAATAAAAATTGCTAATAAAATTTGAAGGCGGTAATCTCTAAGTGCATAAATTATAATAATGAGCCAATAATCGTGAATAGTAGAAAATAATGATTAATTTAAGCACACATACGTAAATTATAAAAGAAAAACAATCGAGTACTTATAATCAAAATATTGTTATAAACAACAATAAATATGCATAATTCTGTAATCATTATTTTATAGTCAATTACCGGCAAACAGAATGCAATATTTTGCATTATCTGATATGTACTGAAAATTTTTGCAAGAAGCGGTGAGAATAATAAATATTACTTTGAAAAGGCGAAATACGAAATAATAATAATTTAGTATTCAAGTTCTTTTATAAATTATTTCAAAGCAATAAACTGTAACTTGATTATTTTTAATTTGATTTAGTAATCAACATTAATGGATAAAAGGTATTCATTTCTAATAATATATCCAAATATAATTACCAATATTTTGTAATCATTATCAATTAATGCGCTTAGTTTAATATTTTGTAAACACAATAAAGAAGTGTTAATAAAATTTTATAATAATTACTTTGTAATCCATTATTATCATTCTAATCATAATGCAGTGTCTTTAATCATTAGAATTGTTTTGATTTTTGAAATATGCAGTAATTATGATAAGCATTACTTTACCTTAAATGTAGTCATTAGTGGATGTTGCAAATCAAGCAAAAATCAAATGTATACAGTCGTTGCAACTGTACTTATTTTTGTAGTATGCTGTCATAGGAGTAATCATTACTACGCCTTAAATCTAATCATTATTAAACTCTTGTAAATCAAGTAAAAATAAAGGATAGCGGTGACTATAGTCGTTGAACTTGTATAGACTTTTTATAAAAAATAGTAAAAGCAGCAATCATTACATTGCATTAAATATAATTATTACTAAATTGTTCGAAATGAAGTAAAATTAAGATATGATATACGCGCTAGCGGTTGAATTTAAATATAGTTTTAATAAAAATGCAGCAATAGTAGTAATCATTACTTTGCATTAAATGTAATCATTACTAAAGTGTTCCAAATGAAGTAAAATTAAGATATAATATCCGCGCTAGCAGTTAAATTTAAATATATTTTTTATAAAAATACAGCAATAGTAGTAATCATTACTTTGCATTAAATGTAATCATTACTAAAGTGTTGTAAAATTGAAAAATCTTAGTTTATTACTAAATTGTTCCAAATGAAGTAAAATTAAGATATAATACCCGCGCTAGCGGTAGAATTCAAATATAGTTTTAATAAAAGTACAGCAAGTAATCATAACCTTGCATTTAATGTAATCTATACTAAAGTGTTGTAAAATTGAAAAATCTTAGTTTATATATTCTCTTTATACATAATTTACTGATTTTCAATACTTGCTATCAAGTCTGCAAGTACCTTGAATAATTTTACTCCTACTTCTATTTTAAGTTATATTTTATTTTTTTTTGTTTTTTATTATTTGTTTTTTCCTTGCCAGCTTCGTTGCACTCCATTTACTTCATTTTATTTGCGTATACTCTTATTTGCTTTATTTTTATTTGCCATCTGGTTTTTGCTTCCATACCCATTTCCGTAAGAGTAAAAAATAAAATTGAAATTCTAGTTGAGGGAACTGTGCAAAAAAATCAAATCTGTGCACTGGTTTCTGTTGCTTGCCTTTGTAATGCTTATTGTTGATGGTTTTTGTATCATAGTTGCGAGCACAATGCTGAAGTATGCCTCTCAAATGGACATCTAGCAGGTATATGCTTGTATATCCTTGCTGTTGCAACATTTTATCATATTGACTTGTTTTCTTTATATTTTTTGAACGAATTCATTTAAGTCTCTTTTTTTCGCTTTCCTTCTATTTTTTTTATGTATATGTATACTCATATGTTAGTATATTTTTTTTGTTACATATGCATGTGTGTGCCTTCCTTGCCGCATGATTTGCATGCATATCCTTTCATCACCGATTTTGTCTATCCGATTTACTCTCGACCTGCTGCCTGTCGCTGGTATGTGTGTGCTTAATATATAGTATGTCGTATTTGTTTGCATTTCACTGCATTAGATGTGACTCGCTTTGTTTCCATTATTGGTATTTGTCGAAGCAATGGATTACGTGCCCGCCAGCTTTTGTTTGCCGATACCTTTGCCACCACACGCCCCACCTATAGTACATACCGAGTAAAATTGTTTGGTAGTCGTTCTTATGTTTACTCTATATTGGGTATATAGTATATCTAATATCTAATATCTATATATATTATAAATATATTTACATTAAAGTATAAGCGGATCATTTCCTTATGCCTTCTCTTACTCTCTTGTTATTTGCATTTCTTTAATGCTATTTTGACTTATATGCTCTGCAAATACCCACAATACAGACAATACAACAAACAAATCTTTCGACAATTTTCAATAAATTCGACATCAACTGTCTACACAAGTTTCGAATTTTCTTTGGTCAACAACAGTCTTACTAATGATCGAGAGAGAATAAGTATTGCTGCTGTCGCACTCTAAACTCACCACCTAACCTATGTAATCATTCATATAGTGCTGCAACTTGGGTAAAAATAAAAAAAAGCTGTCAGTTATTAGATATATACTGATTTTTATAGTAATAAAATAGCATAGTAGTAATCATGACTTTGCGTTACATGTAATAATTACTAAAGTGTCAAAAATTAAATAATTATAAGTTGTAAGAGTGTCTACAATCGTTGTTTTAATATTTCGTTCTCATTAAAATATAGTAATCGCCGTAATCATTACTTTGCATTACATGTAATCAATACTAACATATCAAAAATTAAATTTAAAAAAACTAAAACTTGCATAATTTCTTTAGTTTACGTAATCATAGTAGTGACGATTACTTTGCATTACATGTGATTATTCCTAAAGTAAACCAAATTAAATAAAATTAAAATATATGTAAAAATGTCTCCAATTGTTGAACTTCACTGTATGGGTTTTATAAAAAATCTTAATGGGTAATCATTACTTTGCATTACATGCAATCATTACTATAATATCGCAAATAAAAAAATAAAACTTTCATAATTTTTCAGAATTTACAGCGATTTTTATAAAAAAAAAATAGTAAAAGGTAATCATTATTGTGCATGACATGTAATCATTACTAAAGTGTCGTAAATTAAAAAAAATTTATACATTCATTATATTCTCAGTCTACGTAATATACTTTACGGCCATACTTACTTAAGTCTTTAATTTCCTTAAAAAATTTTAAGCCATTAATTTCTTTTATATTATTTTCTACAGTTTTTATTACACACTCTTATTAGTCCGTCAAAAAATAATCTTCATATGGTATATCCTTGAAGAATTTCTTTAACAATTCTTTCATTTTATTACCTAACGCTTCGTTGATTACCGGCGTTAGATCGTCACTGAGTAAGCGCCAGTTTTCGTTCATTACTTGCAGCATGGTCTCGGAGAGCGTTTTGTCGCCATTGAAGAGATTTGTCATGTCGATGTGAACACTAGAAAATTGAGCAAATAGAGAAACTTATTAAAACTGACACTTAAAAAGTTTGCTTTTACTTACTTATCCACTTGTGTTTCGACTTTAAAAGTATCTGAATTCAAGAAATGTTTGCCATCACGTTCCTCCACTGTAAGTGTAGTCGTAAAGCGAGTTTTTACATTGTCCAAGATCATCGTGAGCTCACCCTCGCCTCTAATAGGCAGCACAAGTATATTGCCATTGACTTTATATTTCGATTTGATAATAATGCGGGGGTTGATATTTTGCGTGACTACTTTCATTGGTTTGCTGAGATCTTTGCTAAAGCCTCTAAATTTAAAAGATTTAGAGAACAACAAAAATATATGTATTTAGGAAAATTTTATGAAAAATCTCTCTCTTCACACTTACTTGATTGATGTGATACGCGACTTTGTATAATTATAACACTCTACATCGCTCATTACCAAGTCAACTTTTAACGCGCTATTTTTATCGCCTAACATTTCGATATTGCCCAACTCCAACGGTTCCAAAGCTGGTATATCCCTTTCGGGCACACCGGTGGCCGCTTTCTTCATCAACTTTTGCGCCTGCTCGATCATGCATTTTTCGTCGGCAAAGTGGCATTTTGTAATGGGATCGGCTGTAAAAATAAAATAAAGGGAGGTAAATTTATTTGGTGATTATTACTTATATAATATATCAGAGTTCCACGTAAATGTAAGCCGAAGTCCAATTAAATAATCTCGAACTGAAGATCGCTTTTGACATAAACATTTCTCTTGTATTAATACAATAAGTAAATATAGATAGCGCCTGACTCTACGCGACTACGTAGAGCTTCTGACTGCTGGTTTCTTCTGTCATAATGGTGAATTTTGCGAAGGTGGCCTGAATCTTAGATGTTCGAAATATTAAATTTACTTCGATCTTTTGCCAGTATTAAAGAGTACCTTGAAGTATATTTGAGACGTCTTAATTCAGCATTGAACACTCTTTAACTCCCTTCAATTTTTTTGTAGAAATACTCGGTACCACGAAATATACCTAAATACATACTTGAACGTGCTTCTTATAAATGAACAAGTTGTATAACTTTCTTAATGGAGACCTCTTACAACCCTGACGGCATCTGATTAGTGAGATACTGATATTTTAAACCATATTGCCTGACCATCTCAATTTTTTGGCTTATGTATTATATATATAGACAATATAGCCTCCTGGCTATCGAGTTTCACTTAACGTCCTTTGCAGACTATCTAGGCTTAGTATTTATTAGTACCCCGGAATGTACCCAAATACGTTCTTCTATACCAACGTCATCTCTGGCGGAAAGTTAAAGTTCAGTTCAACAGAAACTTTAAAAGCTATACTTTCTCCAGAATGGTTTCTCAAAATAGATCTGATTTAAGAGAGGCTGAGATCTATATATTGACTTTCAACGGTCTTATTAAATCAATATTCTTTTGTTCTCTGGAATTGCCCAGAGTCCGATTAGGATATTCTAAAACGAGATCAATCCAATCTGAATATTTTTAAAATCAATGTTGTCAAGTGCTTTGAATTGGTCTGATTAAAGAGATATTAAGTTCTTTGTATTCAATTCTACTGGTCTCATTTGATCGACGACGAGTCATATACGAATATGTTATACAGTATTCTGTCCAATGAACTCCGCGAAACTCTAGTGTTTCAAAATACGGATTCTTGATTGAATTCTTTTCTTTGTAAGTCCTGATATTCGACACTTCTCTATGGTTTTCCGTCCAATAGTTGAGAACGTTGAAATCTATATCGTCGACTGACTCCGATGCCTCCTTTTGGGACTTTTTCCGTTTTTCCGGCAGCAGCGCCAGCACCGGCAGCAGGAGCAGAGGCAGCAACAGAATATCGTCAAACTGTAAGTCTGAAAACCTTGCAGCGGATCTCTATTTTTGTATATGTTGACTCTCTTTATTATTATTTCCGTCGAATTTTTAAACTCTTTTAATATTTCTTATCGTTTCTTTTTATAATTATACATATTTGCTACAAATTTTCTTCACTACGCAACCGTTACTTACGAAATTCGACCGCTAAGGCGCACGTTTGTACAGACAGCACCGCCACAAAAGCCAACAACACCAGCTTGTGGCTTGAATCAAAAATGGTATTAAGACACATTTTTCACACTGGAATCCGCTAGTTGCACTCGTTTAGTATACACGCTCACGTCGCAACGAAAACTGACGGCACGATGTTTCATGAAGCTTATTTTATAAGTCTAAAATGAACTTTGAATTGTCATGAATTATTTTACGAGTACAATTATTGCAAATTATAATATTCTAAACAATAACAGTAAAAAAATTGCTAATATGAAGTAGGAAAGCGTTAAGTTCGGGTGTAACCGAACATTTTATACTCTAGAAATTTAGAAAGATCAACGGCATTAACTCATAATATAGCTCGTAGACTCACTCACAGTCACTACATTTTCCTTGTCTGAAATACTTATATTAATATTATATCAAGCTAATTAACTCAAATGAGATACATATATGTGATATAAACTCAATCGAAGTGGCTAGATTTGATATATTGTGCATATGTGAAAGCATTAACCAAAGGATCGGCAATCAGTATATGTGGGCAGTTATAGGCCTACTTAACTATTTTAGGCCATGAGAGGGCAAACCTTGAAGGCACTATGTGTGGTATGAGAAGTAAACCTGGTTTTCTTCCGCTCATTTTCAAAATCTTGAAATCTGTGGAATATTTCTTGAGATATAGAATTTCAATTAAACGTGGGCGGTACTACGAATATTGTCTAATTTTTAGGGCTCCCATGAAGCTTTTCCGTGCCATATACGACGTGTCCGATTTCATTCATTTTACGCTATGTTACAAACAACCGTTAGCTGCACATAACTATTTTACTCTGTAGCAACATCTTGCGAGCGTATAAAAATATTGCTTACTGATTATCGAAATTAATTGCATATAAATGTTGTTTTAAGCGGAAGCTCAACTGCTTGGATGTTTGTATATATTATAATACAATATTTGTTTTTCTTATCTGTAATGCTCTCTCATTGTGATAGTCTTGTGAATTACGAAACAATTAGTTACTTAATGCATATTCAAAACATTGCTTTAACTCGATTTTGAGCGCTTTTCAATTAAGCTGCCACCTGTTTGTGAATTATTTTATGATTTTTATATAAATTTTGAACTTGAAGTCATACGAACAGGCAGAAAATATAATATTATTCAAGTCGGTAATTTTATAAAGACACATGTAAGTAATGTTATTGCAAATTTTTTCATAAAAATTATTGCTGCTAAAATTTTTTATTACTCAAGCACAGACCATAAACCTGGTATGTCGCTAAGCTTCAATATTTATGTATATGTATGTAATTAAATGACGCTATGCAGTAATAATGCTGCGTCTTTGTTGATATTTAAACCATAACTTAAGACGTATTTATTTGTGTTTCCCTGAGTTTGCTAGATCGGAAACAGAAAGTGAATACTATAGATAACGCATAAAATACTGTGGATCACTTAAACCGGTTTTGTTAAAAGCGCAATGTGCTAATCATCGTATATGGGGAGAGTGACTTGTATAGAGCTCATTGAAAAACACAGCAATACATACTTTTGTGTTATTATTTTAATTACTTTTTAAGTGTAGCATATTGCTTAACATTAATTTTACTTTTTACAAGGGTCATGAACCTTAGGCGGGAGTGTACAAAGATCAAAGAAATAAAAATTTGGATTGAGGTTCAAATATCGAAGCTAAAATCACACTTATTTATAGCCGTGCGGTTTTCAATGAGCCAATACTTTTTTCGGTATAGGTCTTTTTGCCAGCTTTTACTTGATTTATTTAGTTTGATTTAATATTTCCTAATGAACAGACGTACTCCGGAACAACGTTTGCAAATCGTGCAAAATTATACCAAAATAATGGCATCGCGCACGCTGTATCTTGGTAAGCGGGCTTTCAGAGTCAAGTTCGTACAAGAATTGAAGCCGCATGACCATCAAACGAAAAGCACATTTCGGAATTCGTTTTTAATGGTAAGCTCTTGTCTTTACAGGCTAAATTCTTGGCTATACCATTAAATTATATGCATTTTATTTCTTCTTTAAAACCACATGTCTAAAAAAACTACCCTTTCAGAAATTATTTACAATCAAAAGATTTCGGAAGTATAAGTAGATGACCAATGTTTACCAATCTCAGGCATAAAGGAACCATAACCAAAAGACGAAGATCAAAGGTGATATAAATCAAATATAAAAGACCGGAATTCAGAAATTTCAAACTATAGATCAAATGTAAAAAGATATATTAAAAGCTCAAAAACCAAGTATCCACAGTTAGAGATTAGCGATGAGAGATCTCTGTGAGGAGGCCAAAAAATATACTTGAATTGTACAATATAATTGACAAAAGGCTGTACGTCAAAGAGTGAAGGCCAAGGGTTTAGGATAAAGATCGAAGAGCAGACTTTATATGTTCAAGCCCAAATGTCATGTCACTATTTAGAAGAACGAAGAAATTTTATAAAAAATCTAACAAATGTTCAAAACTAATTCATATACCATAATATCAGAACAGCAGTCGAGAATCAAGAGTAAAATGCAGAGATCAGAGATCATATGGAAAGCTTGAATATCTATACTAAATATTATAATAGAACGAAGAAATTCAAGAAAAATATTAACAATAATCAAAATTTAAACTAATTAATACCAAACAATTAAAAACCAAATAGATGTATTTCATATATATAATAGGGTGGAGCGAAGAAAATTTTTTTTTTTTGGCTAAGCCTGAGGGTAAAATTTGTAGATTATAAAAAAAGAAAAATTTTTTTTTTTAACATCTAGAGGCGGGGCCCACTCACTTTGAAAGTAAATTTTGAGTTATTTTTTTCGTTTAAATTCTTCACATTTATATAAAAATTGCCGAATTTGACGGTTTTTGACTCAAAATTTATTTTAACGCTTAAGAAAAGCATATTCGTTTAAAACTTTTTTTTAAAGCTCCAATAATGACCACAAAATTTTTGTTTAAGTTAATAATTTTCAATTGACCAGAAAAAGGACTCTCCAAAAAAAAATTTTTGTTTAAGTTAATAATTTTCAATTGACCAGAAAAAGGACTCTCCAAAAAAAAAATTTTGTTTAAGTTAAAAATTTTCAATTGACCATAAAAAGGACTCTATACAGCTTCTAGAACACTTATCACAAATTTTTTACGAAATAAAAATTTTAACTAGAAATTTGCTTTAACAGTGAGTGGTCTGCCTCTAGATGTTAAAAAAAAATTTTTTCTCCAATTTTTTTTCCCAAATTTTTGTTTTCAAACATTTTTTCTAAATTTTTTTTCTAAAAATTTTTATAGTCTACAAATTTTACCCTTAGGCTAAGCAAACAAAAAACAATTTTTTTCGCTCCACCCTAATATATATACATACATATATACATATACATGTTTTTGTATATCTGTGTGCTGGCATATCATATTCCCTTATGGAATGCATGTAAATCAGTCAGTCTTACAGCTACATAATAAATAACACTACAAGCACCTATATAAACATAAATGCGAATGTGTATGTGCAACTTGAAGCGCTGTTAGAACATATCAAATGTCATAAATCTTATTAATTATTTACATTGCATAATTATATACAGAATTACAATTACCAAGCGTCTAAACGCCAGTAAATGTGTTTTATGCAAAGTAGCTGAGAAATATGTATAAATGTGCACATGTATGTTGTTATGTGTTAATATGAGTATATATGCATGTGTGCGCACAGCTGTTCAGCTCCGCAAGATGAATGATGGCATTCACTCACGGCATATATACAAGTGCATTTATAGTTCGAGTGAGTGGCATGCGTATTTTAGATGTACATATATGTATGTGTGTAAGTGTATGCACAAGTTGTAATAATTTTAACGGTTTCTCTATGTGCGTATGCTTAAATAAATACCTCCAATAATTAATATTCTCCGCGTAAGTTTTAATGAGCTGTAAACTGTTTAAATTTCGGAGTTGGTGCAGGTGGCAGTGAAATTATACGTGCTTTGAGGTGTTGCATCCATTTCTTTATTAAAACTTTAGTTGTGTAAGTATATTTGATTCATTTCTAAGTAGCGTATAAGTCGTTTTCCTCTTCAAATATAAACTAACATCAATCGAAAGCATTAAATAATGACAAGTCCCTCATTTATTCAAAACTGGCTTCTTATCTCCTTTTCCAACTTCCTCCATCATCGATTACTTCACATACATATGTCTTATATTCTCTCCATTTCCTCCCTCCTCCACTTTCCTGTACTTAAACATACTCAAAGGGCTCACAAAGAGCACTTCATACAATTTCACTTTCAAGTCATTTTCAATTAGACTTAGGGTACTTTAGAACTCAGTAATGTGTCAGGTGAAAGCTACTCCATTCGGGTTCACTTGAAAGTTTTAGTTGAGATTTAAGTGATTGAAGCTTTTAAAACACAGTAGAGTTCATAACCACAATTTTCAGCTAGTTCTGCCACCTGCAGGTCCTCCAACGCTAAGATAATACACTTAAAAGGTGCTAAGTGACAAAGAAGTATTTCGATCAGATACCGGGCTTTGGCAGCATGGTTTTATGCTTAATCTCGACGTCGAAAAAAACTTCAGGTCAAATCTATTCTTGTGTTCTTCTGCAGTGTGGGCTGATATTTTTGAGATTGCTACAACGGCTGTTCACAGCAAGTTGGCACCATAGATGACCGACCGCTTGAAGTAGTCGATCTTGAAGCAAAAGCTCGCCTTTTTCTATCTTGAAATCCATGGTTTATGTCTCTGATTGCTAAATTTAAAGACTGTACTTTCATCTCCTTTCATTCGAAAAAGTTAACAGAAAAGTGGAAGGAAGGAAGGAAGGAATCAACTGAGCTGAAGAACTTTATACACATCGTGTAATCTAAAAAGACTCTATGATTGTTGGAAAATCATTTCATTTTGAATACTAAAATGGATGGCAAGAAATATAGCTTAAAAAAAGAAAGTTCGAAATAAACTTGTAAAAATAAAAAATAAATTTTGTCGTTCTGAGCTCGCAGTTAACCGTGCATCTGTCTCTTTGTTCTAGATGCTGAGAGTATTTTTTATGGCAGCTCTAGGGATAAATTCTTCTGAGCTCAGACCGGTTATTGAGGTTAACTCATATATATGTGATATTAAGCAGAAACTCCTGTGCGAGTTTTTTCATTTCCTATTTGAAACTCTACTACTTCGTACCGGAAGACTCGATATGTATTACGGTCTAATATCGATTTCGAGCTCGTTAATTTGGTATTTAACTTTCTATTAGCTAAGGAAAGATTCATACGCCGATTAACCATAATACGAATAGAATAGAGTTTGGCCGAGCTTCGCGGATTGTGCGAATAGACTTCTACTTTTTTTGTAGGTGGATGATAGATTTTCGAAAACATATTGTCCCTTTCATTCAGTATTTACAAGGTGTGACGTTGTCCCCCAAAGTTTCACGCTGCTTGAAATAAATTATCTATAATTTTGCAGTCAGGGTTCGAACTCATAGACGGTTGAATAACAGTCGCAGTTATCTCTTTGCCTTCGTTTTCATCTTACGAAAGCTTTACTCTAACAACTTTTTGCACACATTTCATTCAGCAGGATATCAAGGATATCAATGTTAATAGCTTTTCGTTGAGTTGCCAACTTGTCTTCCTTCCGGTAGCTACTCAACTTGGTCCAGCCTACTCGTAAGTATGCTTCACTCCAGCAAATACATATTCCAACTTACTGCTCATCCTAAGCAGCCCAAGCTGCTACTGGTCCTACCAACGAGTATTATTTATTGGCAAATATACAGACACTTATATCCATTTTGCATGTTTGGGATACAAAAGATGTGAATATAGACTCCTCCGATATGGAGAGTGTTTGTGTTGGTATAGGTGTGAATATGTGTATGATACCTCACTGTTGGGATATTGTGTGGTTGTCCTAGGTTGCAGCAAACAATTTATTCAGATAGCACTTTGTTGTTGTTGTTGTCGGTTTTTGTTTTTGTTTTTGCTGATTTTTGTATGTTTTTGTAACCAACTGATTGTTTTGTGTATTCAGCATTAATACCATCAGAGGATAAGTCAATAGTTTGTTATAACAATAGGTGGAAAATATAACAACAAAACTAGTCTTTACTTATATTAGGGTGGCACTACAGTTGTCATAGTCAACAGTTGGCCTTTGTTTCATTATCCTAATTATTAAGGCGCGAGTTATAATTAGAATATATAATTTTTGCTTTGGATTCTGCAAGGTTAAGGTGTATCGCATTGTGTACAAAATTGGTATTATCCTTATAAGGCAACAAAAATATAATTTTTTTTCGTTTAAAGCGTACAATTTATTCGAAGCAGTATCAAAAAAACGAAGAAAGTATACAAATTATGGATATATACTCGTATATTGGAGTTTTATTAGGATTGTCTGAAAATTGAGTCCTAGGTCTCGGCGGAAAAAGACTGTGGACTGAATCGGAAGCAGTCTTATATAAGGTGCTGAATGTATATATGACTGTTGTGGTATCGAATAACCCCATTAACAGAAACTGATCAAATATTTTTAACATAAATATATTTTAGGATCACCCTAATACACATATATTTTATGCATATATTAATACATACATAACGTAAACTAGGTAATTAAAAAAAAATTATTTTTCTCTTTGGAACCACCTTAATAGTAATATGATTTAAATATTTAATTTTGCGATTTACGACCATCCTAGTATACTTATATTTTTCTATCTCCGAAAATATTTCATTTTCCCTTAAGAACCACCCGAATATTAATATTAGCTAAACGCTTTAATTTTATATTTTAGAATCACTCTAATATACATACATTTGTATATTTCTGTAAATAATTTTTTTTATTTAACAAAACTCCTTCTAAAAACATTTTTTGTTAACCTTATTTTTGTATATTTTATTTTATTACCCACCCTAACATTTATTTATACACGTATTTTTGCCTGCTTGTGTGTATTTGTTGTTGTACAAAGCAGAAAATCCACCAGGTTGCTTGAAAAATATTTTCTTTGATATATTCATACTTTTTTCTGTTCCCCTTTCAATTGATTTATTGTGCACTTGTATAGTTATAGTTGTTTTGTTGTTGTTGCTGAGTGTCCATTCATTTTGGTTTATAGAATTTTCGCAAATTCATGCAATGAAATTTCCTTAACTTCAGAAAGCACGATTGCTGAGCACAACTACCGACCTACAGACCGACCGTCCGACTCATTGATCGCATCGAAGTGATGAAACACTTGATTTAATTTATGTATTCTAAACGTTGATGACATAACTTTGTTATGCTTTTTGTTGTTGCACATACTATTTGTTATTGTTCTGACTATTGTTGCTGTTGTCGACCACCTTTCTATATTGACAGCAGATTTAACCATCGTTTATCGTATCGAAAACAGGTCTATGAGTCATACTTGAGTGAGATATTTATTAGCTCTAAACTATCGAAATGACCCAGCCGTCAAGCCACATACCTTACTAATACAGTTGCAGTAAGACTTGTATGCGTTTGACCAGAAAATAGCGCTGCCTATGTGTGGTGTGTAGCTTATGATGGGCTGTCAAGCGCATATTAGTTGTTGATAGCTAAATTGGGTGTGAATTATTTAGGCATTTGCAGGAAATGACAATTTATAACCAGATATTGGTAGGAGTTATTTCCTAAAGTTTGTGCAAAGCTACGAGTTGTGGCAGTATTAAATCTTATTTGTGGAATTGTTAGAGCTTTCATAAATTTTTTACAGTTTTTAGTGGCAATCGACTTGGAGTAGTCATTGCATACTTTTCTGGTACTTGGTTAATGCGAAATCAGAGTGGATAGCAAACGTTAAGTTTCCGAGTGCATTTGCGCTACGAAAAAGTCTTAAAAAGCTTTCAGCGGGTTGGAGTTGCCATAACATTTTTAAGACCGCCCTATTTTTGCTTTGCTAAAGCATCTTTTTAAGGGTTAATATTATATATTGATGAGTGAACCCAATTAAGATTGACTAAAGTTTGGTAAAAGCGGTTTAAGACTTCATTTTGTATCACATAGGTTACTAATGCCGTAATTTCCAAAAATCCACTGAGCCCGCTCTCTATATTAACTCGCTAGTCTCTCGGTTTTCACTAGCATACTAGCTATGGTTGAAAAATTAGTAAAATATAATGGGTAAATGTCTTCTACCTGGAGTTCACTTTTCTTACTTAGATGAAAGCTACATCACAGCTATTCTATTTTTTATTTTCAATATAACCGAGAAACGTTTTTGCGCTCTGATCTGACCTAAGTCCTTACCTTCACTATTAATCAGTTTAGCTCATTTTTTTTTTGGAATACTTGTAGATTTCTATATCCAAATATTAGAAACTGTCGAAAAGTGAGAAGATGAGAAACTTTGTTAACTCTTGTCTCTATCTAATAGTCAAACCATACTAGTTAGCCTGCGGTTAATATTATGGAGGTATTTACCTATTTTACTGTTATCAATATTTTTTCTAGTTTCGTTAGCCTTAGACTTTAAACCACTAATTTCGGCTCATATAGTATGCTTTAAAGCATTCACTTTTGAAATAAGGCCAGGTGCCAAAAGTCGATAGGTTTTCGTATGATTACACAACTTTTGAGAGATCTTTTTGTAAAGACATAAGCGGCTAGAGCTTTTTCCGATCAACAATTTCTAACTTCGAAAATTGTCGGTTCATGATACGGTCTGCAAGAAATACTATTCTCCTTAAATTATACGGTACGTCCTTAAAAACCTTAAACTACGTTTTGGTTCTGTACCATTGAGAATTTTAGAGTTTAACGGTCGTAGGGATAACGTTGTTTCACTTTATCAGCGTTAATTCTAGCCAAATGAATGGTTTATACAAACAGAATCCGCGTGAATTGGTAGTTTCGGAAGAAGACGGACCGAGGAACAGTGAGTCAACATAAAAATCTCGCTTGTATAGCTTGAGACTTTTCCTACTATTAGATCGAAATACGCTTTTGTAAGAAGTCTCAAGTCTCCAGAATGATTCACTAATATCTGATGTCTCATATTGTTCAACACATACCTGCCAAAAATATATTCTTAATATAATTCTATTTTCCTTTTCGGTGCCTGCAAATATATTCAAGTGACTTCGAATTTCTAGAGATAAATACAAAAAAAAATGTATTTACTCTTGAAAACAAATTACGATGTGGTTGCAGTCGTTGGTAGTATGCATAATTTGCCCTAACACGGTTTCCAAAAATGCGGGCTTAATATATTATGTATGAGTTACACCAATTTCACACATATCCTTTCCATATGAATGGCATAAAAAGAAGAAAGTCATTCTTTTGTCATTCCTTTTGTGCACTTTCTTTCCTTGTTGTTGTTATTTCGTATGCTGTTAACCCATTCATTGACTTGGTAAATTGAAAGGTCTCATTCACGCTACGCACCTTTTGAAGATTTATTTCATTCATTTTATTGTGTTGCTGTTGTTGTTAACGACTTCAAGTGGAAAATAGACTCTAGTCGCTTAGGCTTGTGTAGCCAGACAGAGTAGTAATGAGATATTTATAACCAAATATGTATGAATATATGTTTGTCAAACAAGATTTATAGGTGACAACTGCATTAGAAAAGTTTATATTTTCATAAATTGTTGAGAATAATTCTTTTGCAAGGACTCTTTTTAAAAATTGCTGTCTACACTTTTAAAGAGAGAAAAGGATAGAGGGCGAATAAGACCGTTTAGTTTTTATCACGGTTTCGTCAAAGAAATTGTTTATTCAGGGCTTTCAGTTTTCCCGTCGCTTGTCTACCATTTCACGTTATTTTTCCCGAATAACTTTCCTTGGAGAGAGAAGCCAAAAATCCAAAATTTACCAAATATTATCAAAAACTCTACCTAGATTTTTCATTCGCTTATACCAAATAATCCTGAGCACACTACTGTTTGTAGCGACATTTTCAAGAAATATAGGCTAATTATGCCGCCATTCCGATGACCGTACAAAACAGTTTTTCTAAAGATGAACCTTTTACATTACTATTGTTTAATGCTGGTTATTCGATATGCAGAAATTTCTTACTTGATGAGAAACTAACATTGTAAATTAATTTACTCATAAATCTAGATTGTGAGTCGGTCGGATAAACACCAACCGCGCTACCTTACCTTTCTCATATACAATATATGTGATATTCGATAATGAAGCCCAAGATCACTGTATGCTGCTAAAATTTAGTTTATTTATGTCCATTGCAATGCAATAGGTTTCAGCCAGAGCTCGTAGCATCTGACTTTCATAATTAATCTGACTCGTTTATGAACCAACTCGGTCGTTTGTGACTTACAAAATGACTCTTGCCGGTTTTCGACTATTATCTGCCTGCTGTGCGATCTTCAGTAGTTTCGATATTACCACGTGAGGGACTAACGTTGTAGAACTAGCTTACTCATATAAATGTATGTTATATGTTTTCAGTCAGTCGAGATTAGCGCCATTCCGAAACCATAGTGTATGAAGTTCATGTTCATTGGGCTGTCCGTATATTTTACTTTATTTATTTACATCCTTATGCAATAGATTTCAGCCATAGATCGTAGCATCTAACTTCTAGCAGAGACCTGAGACTTTTATAAACCGAGGCGGCCATTTGTCAACCGAAGTTTGAAAAATGACTTGAAGAACATCGATTTTTTGTGGAAATAGAGCTTTAAAAAATATAAAAGAAGATAGTCCTGAAATGTCCAATATTTGTCTCCATTGCCTAATTCCGCCGTAGGGAAGCTAAACAAAAATATTTGGATAGACTTGATGCCCATAGCGCCAAAACTGATTTATCTATGTAGATGAAACCATTTATAAGTGACGACAAGTGTTTGTTGCGAAACCCTCTCTTCAATGCTCAAAACGGCAATAAATAAAGTTTTCTCTGTCAAAACTTTACATTTATTATCCCGTTATTAATTTGTTGCTTGATTATTCGTTGTTAAAGAAAGATCACTTTTATATAATCTGCAATATCCTCAAAGCGGTTAACCTGTTGTGTATCGTAATTAACATTAATTAGATAAATTTTTTAAATGCTTCTAAAAATTACTTACTGCCTGGTGACTGCCGCTCGAATTTTCCTGAAAATTCAGTGAACTTAATTAAAATTATTTTACATGTCAAAATCATTACTACTCACACTGCATGTCTCACTTGAGTCATCCTTCAAGTTAAGCATATAAAATCTGAACGGCAGCTGATCCTTAGTACGCTTCCGCTTCAAAACCTCAACTAAATCATAAGCCACCACATCCGAGAAACCAACACATTGCTTCAACCTAACCTCATTAAGTCTGTTGCATCTGCTCACTATGTATATTACGTCGTCGAAGCAGTAGAAAAACCGCGCTAAATACAAATACTCCAAGTTCACAAGCTGTCCAACCATTTGTGGGAAATTCAGTGGGATGCAGAGACCATCGAGTCCGATTTTCTTCGCAATGATACTAAGGTGCGTTAGACGTTGCAGGTGCGGCAAGTAATTGAGATTTCGGCACAAAACTTCAGCTTCAAGTGTGAGCTTCGTGATGCTGGTACGCGCGATAAGCGTGCGAAAGAAGCGTTGTGTTAAACGTGCCTCTGGCTCGTCAGCGCATGCGCAGCGCAATGGTAGAATTTGGTAGTTCTGACCTTGTACCGGCAGCAGTTCGTTTCGCATACAAATTGCACACGGATGTGTGTTGAAATTTCGCACTTCAAAATCTTTTAATGTCCGAAGAGTTTGTAGTGTCGTAATTGTATGCTCCAACCGCCAGTCGACTTTGAGTGTAACGAGCGTTTCACAGCGCAACCACATGAGGTTCGTGAGGTGCATGGCGACGTCAGTGAACGTACTGTTTCGTATGTCAAGCGAGCTTAGTGACAATGAGTTCAGTATGTCTACTAGATAGTAATGGCTTAAATTTTCGCAACCACTTAGTTGGAGCTCCTTAACGCTGCTGAGCTCGGCGATGTTTTTGCCTAAAATAAGTAAGTGATGATTAGAAACAAAAGTGAGATTTTGAAGACTTAACGATTATTACAGTTAGTTGTGCATTAAAATCAATTAAAATCAAACTGTATGACAATTTACGGAGGACTAAACTTAGTTGGATAATAAAGTTCAGAGCTTTCTCACGAAAAGCTTCCTCCAAAAAACAAAGTAACAGCTTCTGGTGTAAGAAATTATTTGAAAGTGTCTGAAAGATCTAAGGTATATCAGCAAAAGACTCCTAAAGAGACTCTTTATAAAACGACAATATCGGACAACAACTGCTTTCTAAACACCTTATGAACACGGGTTCTTGAAACAATTCCTCAACCCAATTCAGACCTCAAAGATCTTCGATTGATTTATTGGTGGGATGTGCGCTAATAGTCAGAAGATCCACAATGGAATCTATTCAGTTTTTTCTGACTTCAATTGATCTGGGCGGAAACTTGGGAATTTTTCTGAGAAATCATCTCTGTTAAAATCTTTTAGAATAAAATCTTCTTTTTATCTTTCAGAGTAGTCTTTTTAGTTATGTATCCACAGTCCTTTCAGATATCTACTGAGTCCGATATTTCAATTAGAGAACGCTTTAGAATTTCTTGTGAATTACGAATGAAAAGTCATACTGCTATACCTGTAACTTTTGAGTTTCTAATAATAGAGAGACTTTCCAAATTTGTTAGATTAGCTAGGAACTCCACGTCCTCATCGCACAAAATGCTGCCAATCACAGAGAACCTCCTTATATTTTGAAAAACTTTGTTGTCCTTAAAACGCAATATCCTAAGCATCTCCATACCCAAAGGGTTCTCGAGCGAAGCATCCGTTAAGTTTACCGTTTGGACATGCGGAAAAAGTACCGCTATGCTTTGCCATAGACGAAAAGCAGTCGCACCCGACACTTCCAAATCACTGATATTATTATATTGCTTATTTCTCGGTAACTCTTCTTCAGCGATAATGCAATTTAGCAATATTAAACGCTTCAATTTTGGAAAATCTTCAAGTATCGTGTCAAAGCTTAGTACACGATTACTGAGCACCATTTTTGTAGCGTTTGCGCAGCGTAGCTCGTTGAAAAAGTCTTTTCTTTCAGACGTAATCTCCAAGTAAGCATCATAGATATCATTGTGTACAATTTTCGCTCTGCGACAAGCGATTATCTTTAGATGTCGCTCCTCTTCGATGGCAGCGTTTTCGAAATCTTCACAAACGGTAGCGAATCGCTGGGCAACCGGTTGGTTTATGAGCTTCCTGTAGATCTCGAAAAGTACGTAAATGCTCAGTTGTACATTTGGCGGTGGATAGGGTATGATGAGGCTGAAAGTGGAAAAGTTTTCACATAATAAAGTGACTTGAATGAAACCGTTAGAAATGACTATTGAAAATGGAACGCAGGTTTCCAGTATTTGTCAAAAAGGTTGATAGATAGTGATTTGTTGAAAATGGGTTACCAAACCAAATACCAATTTGTTTGAAAAGTAGTCGGAGCATGAAATTTTAGGAATCGGGCCCAACATGGCATCTGTAGAACCGGACCACAGAACTCCGTAAATCCGTTGCATATTATTAAGATCTGGCTTTGGTAATATGTAGAATTCAGGTATTTAGATGAAAACTTTTGAACGGACATCGGGTTTCCAAATGTTTTATCTAAATGGTGGATAAACTGCATGATAATTAGAGTACAAGGTCCACGAACTTAAGTAGTAAACTGCTTCAAACGTATGCTTCGGCACTTCAGGATCAATAATTTTGGGAACCGCATAACAGGGTTCCAAAAGTTTTTATTCTAAAGAAAACGGATCCTATCTTAAGACCGAATGCAAGAACCTCAAAGTTAAGTAGTAACAGGGTTGGTTGGTTGATTGAAAAGGGCATGAGCGCCGAACCGCAGGCGGGCGTACTTAGCCCCATTGTGCTCCCGGGCGGGAATCAATTTAGGTCTTATCCAGCAGCTTAGTGGATCAGGTAAAAACCTAAGTATGTGTTTTAACCTAACCTCTCCTAGTTCAAAAATCATTTACTCACTCATTTCTGTAGCTAGTCATCGGATGTTTGCACTTGAAGAATAGTATTAAGCTCAATGCAGATTCAGCCTTTGCATATTGCGGATCCTTGAGTGGATTACAAATAACGATTGTCATTAGCTATATTATATATTTTGGAAAGAAACCGAGCCTTACCTCCTGTATATCTTCCGTAATGCCAGCACAGCCACACATCTCCAAATTGAGACGCGCCTTTAGTGGTTCGTTTTTATCACGCTCGCGCAAGAACTCGGCAGCGCTGAATATTAAATCCTTCGTTACGCCTCCACAATAATCCAACGTTATTTTTGACAAGTTTGCGCAACTTTTTATCAAATTCAACAAATCAATGTCTGTTACAGCGTTGACGTGCTCCAAATAGACTGTATCTAAGTTTTGTAGGTTATGCAATCTGGTTAAGTGTTGGCCGCTTTCGTGCCTAATATGAAAAGACAGTTTTCTGTCAGCTAACTGACTTAGCTGGCTGATATCATACGCGTTAAGCATGCCACCTAAAGTGACAGCTTTAATGTGTTTACAATCGTACAACGCCATTAACAGCGTTTCATAGCTTTGTGGTGTTCCCTTTGCGCCAGTGAGTTGAGTGCTTCGACTGTCGGTGTTTTCAACCGTTAGACTTTGCAACACCTTCAGTTTGCCTAGTAATTTTCGCCAATCCACTTTCGGTTGCCAGCTGAGTGTCAGGCTTTCCAGTGTCGGAAAGTCATAGTTCATGAGGTGTTCTTCATAGTCAATTGGACAACCTGATATATCTAGGATTTTCAGCGTGCATGTGCTGAAGCTGTATTTTATTTCATGCAGGCTTGTGCAGTTCTTAAGGTAGAGCGTTGTAGGAATTAGTAAGAATTTAATGGATGCTGCAAGTAGAAGCGTAACATAAATTTTAAGCACTTGCAAGTATTTATCTGTATCGACTTAGATTTATATGGACACTTTTCTCGTCTTAATCGAGACTCATCCTATCCCTTAGTTTCTTGAGTTTCACATAACGATAAAATTGAGATGAGGGATAAAATATCAGTATACCTTGCTATGCTTGTGTCGACATAAGCTAATTTAATATATGCTTATGAATATAAGAGCGCGGTCCGATAAGTATTTAGCTTCACCGCGACTTTCTCATACGAAATTTACTATGAATAGACAGCTACTGTGAAAATGTCGGCCGAAGCGAGCGGTTTCTAAAAAAATTTACTAAAATCTGCCATTACGGATAACGTGGCAAAAGTTCACGAACTCGTATTTACAGACCACGGTTTCAAGATGCGCAAGATAGCTGAAACAGTAGGCATTTCAAAAGACCTCGTGGATATCAAGCATGAAATATTAGCCATGAGAAAGCTGTCCATGCGGATGTTATCACGTTTGGTCACTGCGGACAACTAGTGACACCTGGAATCACTTCAGAGTGCGAGTCAAAGTCAGTGTTCAGATCAGATCCCTATATCATACAGCTGTCATACAAACATAACGATCGGAATCCAGTTATTGTAACGAAGCTTTATATCTGTGAAGGTTATTATAGCTTCACTGCAACCGAAGTTAACGTTTTTTATTATTTTTAATACATTTTTTATAAATTTAATTTTAACTTTACATTTCAAATTTGTTAACTGTTTTGTTATTTACAGTACAACATTTCTAAAATATCTTTTGTTTTTTATTTCAGATATAATCAAATTATAATTTTTTTTTTAATAATAAATTTTTATTGAATTAGAATTTAAAATTAAATTTTAAATATGTTAACTGTTTATTATACATATGTTTATCCTATATCATTTTAGTTTATTATTAATCTTTTAATTTTTCGCAAATTTAACTAATTGCTTTTCACTATTAGTTTTTAAAATTTTCGTTGAATCTGAATTAAATATTAAATTTAAAATGATTTTATTATTTTGTCACCTGAAACATTTTTTTTCTGTTTTTGATTTTATTATATTAAAAAAATTTAACATAAAATTTGTATTAAATTGAGATTTTTATAAAAAAAAATTATATTAAATTTTTAATCCTTATCTGTTTTCAATTTTATTAATTGTAAATAAAATAATAATTAATTTTGCTTTTTTTTAATTTAAAACTAATTTTTAAAAGTGTTTGTAATTTTTTATATTCTGTTACATTTTAAAATAAAATTTTTAATTATTTGAATTTTTAAATTTTTTCAAATTTTGTTTTATTTTTTTATGTATACTTTTTTTTTTTTTTTTGTTTCAATATAAATGAAATTTTTAATTTAAAATGTATTTATTATTTTGTTATATTGTATATCCTTTAAAGTTTTCGAATATATTGTTTTTAGCAATATGAACTCAAATGAATTTAAATAATATTTATTTATTTATTAATTTTAATTAATTTTTTTTAATTATAACTTAATAAAACTTAATTTTCAACACAATTCAAGTAAATTTATAATTCAACGCAATTGCATTTGAAAAAAATATAAATCTAAAAATTAACGAAAATTAAATAAAATTCTCATAAAAACATTTAAATTAATTTAAATAAATTTAAAATTGTCTTATTATATTAATGAAATTAATATAAATAAATCACAAAATTGTCAACAAAATTTAAATTACAAATTCAATACTAGTTTTTTCCAAAAAAAAATCATTAAGCACCGTAATTAATTCAAATAATTTCATTAAAAATTAGAAGATTTTTATAAAATTATTAAAATTAATTTAATTAAAACTAAAACTGTCTACAAAATTTAAATAACAAATTGAATAAGAATTTTTTATTTAAAAAAAATTTAATTAATAAACTAAAAATAAAATTTGCTACAACATTTAAGTTACAAGTTGAATACGAATTAATGTAAAAATCAAATTAATTTTAATATCTTATGAAAAACTTTTAAGTTTAATAAAATTTAGTTTTTTTTATGAAATCTATCAGACACTTTCGCAAAGAGTTTATTGGAATATTAAAATAACTATTAAAATAACTATTAAAAATTAAAAACAAAAATAGAGATATCTCCGCTAAGCACATTAAATACCGGCATTTTTGCCGCCAATAATTAACTACAAATTAATGCAACAACAATAAACAATCAAAACGCTTAGTATAAACAAATATTGCAAACAAGCAAAAACAAAAGCGATAGTAAGCTCTTCACAATTAACGCAGCAATAACAACAAAGTCACCGCTAGCAACAAAACTTGTAAATGCAATTGAAATAGAATCACACTTAATGAATTAAGTTTGTTGTTGTTAACTTTACACGCTGCATACGTAACTATATGCATTTATGATACCAGTTTTTATTAACATGCCGTTAGCGCTATAAATACTTGCATAGACTTCATTGCGCTTTCGCACTTCGCATTCATAACAATTTCCTACCAATTTTCTTATTATACGATACATCCAAATATGTTGCATAAGCAAAATGTGCCGTTAGCACATCAATATCACTTTGTTCTAGATCACAGTTGCTTAAAATTATGGTTTCCGGCTCATCGTCTTCACTCGAGAGCAAAGCGCCTTTCATTAAAATCGGTTTATTTTCACTTGTCAAGCGACGCTCCATACTCGTTTAACCAAAAAAGAAATATTAATAACTGTAACTATTTAATACTAGTTGAATGCAAAACCACACATTGCAATCCGTTAAGTTTAAGAGTTCGTTAGCGACTAACAAGTGAAATGCTTTGCAATATAAAATATACCAAAACTGAGCTAGACTCTAGCGTTAAGAGCTTTAAGTGAGTATCGGAACTCAACCCCCGATTTCAGCTCGCTCTCTTTTTTCTATGTTACTTAGTGAGAGTTTACAAATTTACTGGCCAGATCTTGAAGCATTAAGTAATTGGTAGATTTTTGAATTCTTAACATTCTCAGTTCTTTTTATCGCAGTAGTCAAACACCTCAATGAAGTTATTTTTCTAGTCAATATACGATTAATTCGATGTGATAACTTTCTTTTTGCTTCACGAATAACTTTTGGAATTAAAAAGAAGTCTCACGGCAATCTGTGTGATCTGATCTGATTGTATGTATGAGTTAGGTGAATGCGTAGCCTACTTCGACCAATCCGTCCGTGAGATGTAACCAATAATTCGTTATAGTAGAACCGTGACCATTTTACTCTTCGCTATGTACATCACATCCTGTACAACCCAAAACACGGGAAGCTTCAGCATTCCAGGCGATAGACAGAACCTTCTAGAGATTTGTGAAGTCCATGTTTCATTTGTTCCTTGGTCTGTGCAAATCATGTTTCGTCGATTGTTACGAAACGAAACAAAAGCCACTTCGGATTGCGCATAAACACGAAGCCAAAACAAAACTACAACGCCGGTTCGGCTGGAATTTTTTTAGCAGCCGTGCATAAGGTAAATTTCTCCGTAGATAAATTTTTCTTCGGACGCTGAGCCTAATACATATCGAGCTGCCTCCTTATGAGCTAACTTCTTGTTGTTCTTCAGACTCTCTTTAGTAGCCAATTCATATACTTGTAGAACCTTTCTATATGTTTTTATTCGCCTACGAATCAACCAATGAAGCTTTCTTAAATAATTTTTTCAAATCTGGCAACTTTTCAAACCACTTAGTGAGCGAGTAGCGGAAATACTTCACTCTCTTTGCGATTAGTTATCTTACTCTTAAGCTTAGATACTTAGTATAGTAATTATATTTCATATAAAACTTAACCTAATAACTATTGTTTGAGAAATTCGCTAAAATATTTTATTGCTTTTATAAAAAAGAGTTGCCATCACTGCCTAAATGAAAACAAAATGTTAAGTATTTTTAGTTTCTCATACATATATGTATATTTTTATTGCCGGTCACATAATTTCAAAATATAAAATGTAAAAAAATATTAATAGGGTTGCCATATAATATCACAAAAAAAATTTCTTTTAAACCCTGTTTAGTTTTTGTCTAAAGAATTTGAATTATTTTGAATTGCGAACACCTAAAAATAGTTTTACAGGGCTGCCACATGTGTTTGAACACACTAATTTACAATAATTAGCGCACATATCGCCCAGCTTCTGGTAACATTTTCTGTTCCAGCCATTTATCATTTTCGTCATCGTAAACCTCCACAGTGTCCCTAAGTACACCCTCGCTGTAGCCACCTACCGCCCAGAGTGCCTCATTCATAGACAGTCCACAAATACTACCACGTGCCACATTCAAAGAGCATATCTGTAGAGAGCCGTAATAAAATATAAAAAAAAACCTCTTGAACTTAAGTCAGACATCAAAACTCACCGTCGTCCATTTATTAGCCGACAAACTGTAGCGTTCGACCGTTCGCAATGCGCCGTTGAACCAACCGCCGATCACATAAATATATTCATTGTGCACGGCTACCTAAAGTCTCTTATTAAAAATATTATATTTTTTTAACTTTCTAAACTCACTCCTGGCCAACCGCGTGCCTCATTCATTTCCGCACATTGAGTCCAAATATTTTTCACTGGATCATACCGTTCCACTGTGCGTAAATGTGCTCGATTAAAGCCACCAATCACATAGAGTTTGCCGTCCAAAACTGCAGCAGCCGTGGCGGCTCGACGAACAGACATACTAGCTATAGTCTGCCAGCGTCCGGCGATTGTATCGAATCTACAAAAATTATATGGTAAAGTAGAACATTCAAAGCGATGGCAAAATGTGAGAAAAGTTGAGACGATGTCAGTCTAATATATATACTCCAGCTAGATATATGTATATTATATAAGTCAAAATAATCAGGACGTTGAAAAAATTAAATACCGGTTGTATTTTTGTCCGTGCAAGCGATAACTTGAGTAAAAATTAAGATGTTTTGGTATGTGTACTTGCTCTCGGTTGGCTCTTAGTATAAACTCGCTAGAGCCCTTAGCGTTACCCCGTTTAAATCGGTCTTTCGGGTTATTTTATAAAGTAAATATTCCCTACGTTCCTTATCAACAGTCTTTTGGAAAACACTTACACTTCCACAGAGTTCAGAGCTTGGTATTTTTCATCCTGTCCACCGAAGGCATATATTTTGCCGTCCAACAGCGTGACACTCATGTAAACTCGACGCTGCTCCATCGATGGCATTGGCTCCCAAGCTTGTGTATTCAAATTATAGCGATTAACATGATTGCTCGGCTTGGTATTACGACCTAAGCCACCAATACAGATGATACTATTTTCCAATTGAACTACGGCAAAGTTGCTGCGTTCCAGTTTTATTTCGATCCACTTCTGCCACTCATTAAGAGCTTTGCTGTAACGGAGTATGCATTTGTCCGCGAACCTATGCTATATTGTGAAGATTTCTTATATAATTAATTATAAAATCATGATAAATCCATATTCACTACATCTCCACGTGTTTGCACTACGATCCAATAGGTTTCATCTTCAGTTTGTAGCGCTTTGCGGGGTTTTGTATAGCACAATGATATTGTACCACGTGCGCAAGGTCGTAGCAGCCATTCTACTGCCTTGTTCACCAGTAGCTCACAACCGGGTAGGCTGTTGATATGCGAGTATATAAAGTCGATATCAAATTGTGTTAGCCGTAAACAAGCAACCAAATCGGATAAGTGGCACCTTCGTGCCGCTTCGTCATATTTATACCAACGCCGTATGGCCCAGAAGACATCCGCCTCAGCGCTCACATTCAAATCGTCATGCTCCACTAAACGCTGCAAGTGTTCGACGTTGAAATCAAAGAATTCCGGACTTTTAGACACCTGAAAACAGTAGTTGGCATGTGCGCTAGTAGAAATGTTTTAAAAAATATGTTTAATATCATAAATACTGACCTGCATGAAATTCCTAATTTCATATTCTGTAATACGTTGCCGTAAAATGTTACATTGTTCTTCGCTCTCTAGTAGATCCGCTCTAGCCAATCTGTAGTGTGTAGAATGTGCTGTGGTTAAAGTAACTTCCTCTTCTTGTAGACTTTCTTGTCTTGTAGTCGGTGATGTTGGTAAGTCCAGCAAACTTTGCGTTCCGTCACAGTATATGCCCGATGTTGCAGAGTCCGTGGAAGGTGATGGCGTAAAGATATTTAAGGATTCTTCCGAGCACGCCACTGTGGTTGTACTTGCCGCATCTGACGAACATGAATGCATAATTATGCGTGGAGATATAGTCACAGCACTGGGGCTAGAGCAATCAGTGGATGGACTACTCATATCTGTTGGACTTGGTTGAGTGAAGGTTTATAAGAACCGACGTTTTGAATTATTTTCGAAAAATTCTAGAAAAAATAGTGTTTGTAGTAGTATATACATTGGATAGATGCGAATCCGGCTAAACACCACACCTAAGCAATTCAAAACTAAAGAATAAGCTTTTTCCTAAAAGGCGACATCTACTATTGGAAACGGTATTTTAACGCATATCGTTACTCCGATTATCTACTTCTAAAGTCCGGAAATTATAATTTTTTCTCACAACTGCTATTACTACCACAAATTAAATATATTATGTTCCATATACCTCCATATATTATGATATCTCGATACTACCATTGCTTTGGTACAAATATTATTTCGCTCTAAATAGAAAATAATATTTTTGTGAGGAATATGAACGGAGAATTTCGAACTTACGTCCCTCCGACGTGTTTGAAAATACCACTTTTAATGTAGGAACAACAAGTTAGAGTGAAAATTTGGACTAAACTTTGCCACAACCGCTACATAGCGGAATATATGCACTTAAATTCTTAATTGCCGAAGCCGAAGAATGATTTCTGAGTAAAGGTGTTAAGATATTTGACTCTGAAGCATTCATTTGAGACCCTACGCTTGGAGTATAGAACTCGCGTGTTTCCCTACAACGCTATTTAATTAAATTACATAAGTTCGCGAAATTTGTAGGCTAGGATCAAACCCATTAGCAACCTTAACAATCACATTAGACCATTCCCTGACAACTACAATACATTAAAATTTATACCGTTTCCTCCTCTTTAGAGTTACATACATAGGTCTAAATTGTTTCTTTGTAAGTAAAATCTAAGTTTAGATAAGCATACTCTAATCGTTTTTGCCGTTAGTCAAACACAATACTTTCGTGAATCGCGGAATCTTCAACTATATACAGCAGCACGGTCTTAACTTTTAAGCGTTTATAGCTTGGGGAGATTTTTTCCAGACCGGTTTGTGTTGTTGTTATTTGCATCACAATGCACTTGTACTGCAGTTGTTCATTAATGTTTAATTTAATCGTGACAATATAATAGTTTAATAATCACTTACACTTCAAAGCGCACACAACTTGACGGTTTAACATGCGAACTCTTACTAACAAATATTGTAGACACAATCTTCGCTTAAACGAAACGCTGTGTTTGTGTTTTTCTTGATAATTGTTAATGAGCTCTCTGTTTTGCTAAGGTAATAAAGGGTGTTAAATGCAAGTTTTAAATTTTTAGCTAAGAAATGATTCTATATAACCCATATTTAGTCTCATATGCACATTTTGTATTTTTATTATGTTTGTTTCGAAAATTCCAAAACGTTTCATAGCCATATAATACTGCAAAGGGTTATAAAATGTATATTTTTACTCTTATGCAGTGTGTTTCGAAAATTCCAAAATGTTCCACATACGCATTTGCTCTTACTGTAACCGGAAAATAATTTAATTTCTTATTTTTCTAGATTTCACTTCCATATTAACTTGCATATGCATAATTAGTAATCTAATAATGTTTCTTTGTTATTAAATTTTTTGTTTGCTAAGATAATAAAGGGTATTAAATACAAGTTTCAAGTTTAGCGATTCTTCTAGCGGTCTAAGATGACTCATTCGCCGTAGTATCATATGTTGTTGATCAGCAACAGATATATGTATACAAAGTTGTTTTGTATCGTTCCTTTTATTACCGATCTTCGCCGAACCGTTGTGATTTTAATTGTAAGTCCTAGCTCGGTCCAGTACATTTACCACTTCTTAATCTATCTCTAACTCTAGATATACCTTTCTTTTTTTACCTATCGTTCTATAAGCCTCCTTTTTTTCTATGTATCTATCACATTTTCTATATCTTCTTCTTCTATATCTTGTTTTTTCTCTATCTCTCGCTCTGTTACGCTCTCTTACTCTATTACTATACCTTTTTTTCTTTGTCTCTCACTGCAACGTTTGCGGTTAGATGCACAATCTGACTGATTTTATTTAGTCCACTTAGTAGGAGCGGACTGAAGAAACCAACTGTATAAAAGTCAGTTCGATTCGGTTTCTAGTCGATACAGCAATTTTAGCTTGTTTCGTCTGACTTCGCGAATATATTATATATTCTTTATCTGTTCAAATGTTTTAACATCTTTAGGCGCCACTCAAAAAATATTCAAAAGGTTCGAAAGTAAAGCTATGTCCTTATCAAAGTTGTCTCCACATGCTAGAAAGCAGTGCAAAAAAAAGTAATAAAACAACAACAGCAAAAAGTTAACTTCTAATATATTACATGTATGTGCTTGATCCCACCCATTTCCTCACTTTCATGGATGCGTATAGGTGCCTGCCTATAGAAGCCTTACCTAGTGGCGGCGCTCATAAATAAATATTTACATTTACTTGTTAGTGCTTCGACTTTGGCGCAAATAAATGCATTTATTGTGTTTTACAAGCCCATAAAGCATTGTGCGCATTTAAGCCATTACCGTGTGTGTAACCAACCAGTCCAGGCAGGTGAGTAGAACGGATGTGGTATGAAAATTGTTTAAGCTCTGCTGGAACTGGCGTTAGTTTTGGTTTTCACGGATAGGAGAAGGAATCGGTGTAAAATAGGGAGCAGTTTCAACAAAAGCTGTCGTATGTTACTACAATATATTTAATAAACCTCATAGCTTTACAAGCTGTTTTCTTATGTTCTGCTTGCTATCGCCAAAGTCTCGCAAATGTCGAAGAGAATGGGTTGTTTGAGTAGGAGTCAGAATACAATTGGTAGCAGTTCACATCGCAGCTTTCATTTTAGCATTATAATCAATGCACATTATAGCTTTACAGGTTCTTGGTAATTTTTTTCGATTTATCGCCGAAGACTTCCAAATATCTAAGAGAATGGGTTGTTGCAGGTTCCCTCTTCACAGAACTATTCTATTTTCTCCAGCTAAAGTTGGTTGCGTATTCCACGGCTACCTTATTTTTATTTCGCTGTGCAAATTTGTCTGCAATCCTCAATTGGCTAATGAAATATTAATTTTTATTAAACAAGTCATGAAACCGTTGTTTTGAACAAAGGCTTATACGAAGGTATCTTCCAAACTTATTTAATAAAATCTGCGTAACCAATTTCCTGCTGGCATCTTTCTTATGTGCTTTTGCATCACCTTGCGGTTGCCACACTAGTCAAGACATTTTCAACATCGTCGAAATTTCCCTATTCCATTGCTTTCTTCGCGTCTTCGCGCTTTTTCTTCTTGTGTACAAGTGTTTGACTGAAGTTGGAAAGCGATTTCCTTGGTCCTTCGCCACAATTGTTTTTGTTTAGATTTTTTGTTCTTGTTTTCTTAGTGCTTTTGCTCAGTTAGACCGTCCAACGTTCAACGACATTACCATGGGAAAACTTTATCTTTCACCTAACGCGATGAGTGTGAATAGGCGTCTGCTCTTTCTCTAAGTGTGCGCGCATAAATGAGTATGTGTGGCTGTAGTTTTCTTGCATAAATTGAATTTATGAACAATAAATTATGCGCAAACGAATGCTTTGGGCTTAAAACGAACTTCTGGCCAGGATTTTGTTGGCTTTGAAGTAGGCGCCGCGCATTGGTTAAGTATAGCAGTCCAAGGGGCGTAAAGCACACATTTGTGGTAACTCATTCTTATGCATTCTCATTTATTTTAATGCACACGTGGCATTATTATTATTACATTTATTATAAAAGTCATTTGTTGGTGGCTACCTGCGTCTTTCTACAAAGATGCACATACTTAATTACATATACACATATATATATTCATAACCCTAAATAGTTTGGTTTTCAGGTAAATTTTTGATTTATTAGCCGACACATAATTAAGATTTATTAAGGCGTCTAGGAAGTGAGTGAAATAGTGTGCTTAATTGGAATTTCATGATACATACCATATTAATAGCTGACTCACGTCTTAAAATTCCTGAGTGATGGTAAATATATTCAAAATTCTAACAAAAAGAGTTTGTTCCATAATTTAAATAATTATTGGTTGTAATTAGAACTTTTTAAAAGCAATAAATGGCAAGTTTCAAGAAAATATAAAAGCAAGTTTGTGTCCATATTAACTTTCATATGCATATATTGTATTTTATCATGTTTGTTTCGAAAATTCCAAAATGTTTCTTAGCCCCTTAATTCCGTAAAGGCGTATAAAATTTATATTTTTACTTTTATGAAGTGTGTTTCGAAAAGTCCAAAATGTTCCACATACCGGTGTATGTTTATTCTAACTGAAAATTCATTTGTTATATCATATTCATTGTTCATATTTTGTATTTTAATAAGTTTCGAAAATTGCAAAAAGTTAATTACCCATATAATACGGTAAAGGGTGACAAAATTGATAGTAAAATAATATGAATGTATGATATTAATACGCATTTGTTTTTTTGAAAATTCCAATAGTTCCTTGTTATTTCTACCATGAATGTAGTTTTTTTTTAAATTGGACGGAGGTATTTTTCGTATGAGTAATTAAACTGTATCCCCATGTGTTTCGAAAATTCCAAAACGTTCCACATGCACATATACATTTATTGTAACCAAAAAATCATCCTTAGTTTCCATGTTTTTTAAATCTATATTTTCTAGAGTACGTTTTCGAAATTTAAAGCGTATTATTCTATTTAGTTGATTCTATCACTGTGCAAAAAGACAAAAAGATTTAAGTAAAAACCAATTCGTTACATACTTACATAGCATGTACTTACATGTTTTTGAACAAGTTTCATATACATATAAATATAAACAAATGTTGTAGACTTCAATTGTGGTATTTCGCAAATTTCAAGTATTCCGTCGTGCTCTTTTGCTGCTAAATTCTTTTTTCCCTCAAATTTAGTTAGGAACAAATGGGCATTTCGTGTCAATTTTACGTAAATAGAAAAAAAAAGTGTTTCACAAATTCCAAACGTTTCTTAGTTCAAAAATAATACATAGGATCGACAGAATAGTACATAAAATTGATCTCGAAATAGTTATTCTTACCAAAAAAAATTATATATTTTAAAAATCTTCCGCCTTCGGTAAAAATCAAATCCAAAGCTTCCGAGTGTTTGACGTCCCTTTAAGCTTTTTTGGTTATCTACAAAATTCATACATATTTATTTTTATATTTTTCAGCTCTTCCTTTGCATATTTATTTTTAGTCACTGTGTCCCTGCTCATCCAACCAATCCATAAGCTGACATCCTTACATCCAAAGCTGCTCTCAGCTCGACAATTAATGTGGTTGTTGAACACAGTGATTTTCTATACAAATCCACCGGTCATTAAGTAGTGTCAACACCGGCAACAACAAGAGGCATAGCACAGATTCTGCGGAAGGTGTCAACAACAACATTTATATTATTAGTTGTCATCAGGCGGGGACACACCCACTTTCCACTACTTAAGTGCCCAATAGAGTGTACACAGGGCGGGTATGTGTGTGTGTATTGCTCGCTTTGAATGCCTTTTGTGCTGCTGCAATCCTTAACATTCATTTGTTTTTGTCACCTGTTGTCTACCCCGTCATTGCCCGGGCCCTATTATCACTTAGCCGGGGAATCTGTGCACCTGGTGCGGTTGCTTTTCAGCCGTGTTTGTCGTGAAATTAACCCAATTAAATGAAATGCAAATACGGTAGTTGCTGCAGCTTGCAGACGCAGTCAAACAGTGGGTCGCGATAGAGCTGAACATACCTTAGTAATCAAGTCTCTGAACTGCGTATGTAATTTGAGATCATATATGAGGTATTCTCTTATGCATAGAAATCTTGATTCGACGATTGCCACTTTTGGCTGTTACGGTCATAAATTCATAGAAGAAGAGATCCCAGTGCCCTTGCTGCAGTATTTCAATTGTAAGAATTAATTAACGAAATTTTAACCCACTCGATTTCACGTTAGAATAGAACCACTTTGGCCATTTTTTACTCTATAGAAACTCTTCTTTCGTCGTCGAAACAGACGAAAATAGCGATGTGTGCATTTTGAAAAATTCAGTTGAAGACCTGGCTTCAGCTTGAAACAATTTTACGGCAAGAGAATATGTTAATATGGCTTACACTTCATGCAGCGCTCACCTAAATCCATGGCCAGTTTTACGTACATCCT